ACCTGAGATAAGCAGGGCCCTGCTGGAGCCCCCAGCTTGAACTCTTACCCCAATCATTAACCCCTCCTGCACTCCAAGCCCTGAGCACCCCTGCATCCAAACACTGTCTCAGAGCCTGAACCTAGAACCCTCCTCCTACATCCCAACTGCTTGCCCCAAGAGCAGCTCAGAGCCCCTCTCATACTCCAGATCCCTTAATCCAAGACCAGAGCCTGCACCCCAAGCCTCTGCCCTAGCCTGATGAAAGTGATGGAGGATGGGCAAGAGAGAGAGGATGGAGTGAGCAGGGGTGGGGCTTTGGAGAAGGGATAGGAGTGAGGCGGGACAAGGGTATTTATATTTGAGGTAGATCTGGGACTACACTTAAATTCAAAAAGTGATCTCATGCTTAAAATGGCTGGAGACCACTGTTTTAAGATGTTCTAATACTTGATTTTAAATACAGTTTGGCCCCTTCCTCATTGGTTGGCCAGTACCAATGGTAAATACGATTTCTAAAAAGAGTGTGAAGGGCAACAAATCAAAGCCAGGGCACATCATCATTCAGTGGGTGGAACCCTCCGCCTGATTCAGGTATGATGGATTTAATCAAGCACAGCAAGAAAATGGCAAATGCATTGTCGGTGGAGTTACTTAACTTTTTAGTGTGGAAAGACCAGCATCCATTTTCCTAGATTTGTATTGTGACTGTCACACATTGTACAATCATTTCTCTTTAAATGTCAAAGTTTATGAAAGTGAATGAATAAGAAGAAATACAGGAAAGGGGAAATGATTAATCACAGTCATAATCATCTGTCACCATTTCCTGTGTAAGTTTAAAAATGTCAAAATTAAATGCTTGTTTCTTGTTCAAAGCCCAAAGCACACCGAGATCTGCAGTGGAGATTTCTTTTCAGATAATGATAGTCTCACTCTTTTAATATAAACAAAAGCTAAGAATTGCTCTAAAACAGGTTTAACTTCTATTCACAAGGATTTTTTAGGCTAAGTAAACAGGTAATGTAAGGCAGTCTTTAAAAAAAATTCATTAAATTGGCGATAAAACTTCTTTCAGGTGAATTTGAACTTAGCACCCTCTTCTGCCCCAAGTAGGGTATACTGTACTTACAAAACACTTTTTACTAAGTGTGATGGGGCGGCTCTGCCCCGCACTCAAGCCCAGAGAAACCACCTGGAGCCGGGGGCGGAGAGGGCCCCACCCACACAGCCCTACTGGGCATGCTCCGAGGGGAGCCAAGGTATAAAAGGCTGCTGGCCTGCTCAGAAGGGGCAGACCATGGCCCGAGTTGGAGCTAGCACCCAGCTGCCAGAGAGGGAGTTGCCAGGACTGCTGAACGCGCTGCTGCCAGGCCCCAGCTGGGCTCACCCCCAGCGACGGAGCCGCCGGCCGACCCCCCGTGACCCAGGCACCAGACCGGACACTGCCGACCCCGACACTGACTGGGGAAGTGTCGCTACAGCCACCCGACCAGCGCCGACAGGTGGGGCCGCGCCGGGCCGGGGGTAGGAAGTGACCCAGGGCAGGGTCGGGGCGTTGCGGGGAGGACCCCCCGCCGAGCCAGTGGTGGGAGCCACCCGCTGCTCATAGGGCCCTGGGTCGGGGCCTGGTGGAGAGGGAGGACCCGGGCCCCCCTACCCCTCCTGCCCGGAACCCCGGCGAGTGGGGAGCTCAGCCCAAGGACTAGGCTGCAGAGCCAGCATACTTTGGGACTGGGCCAGTGGGCTGTATTTCCCCTGATACAGGGGAAGCCGACTTTGGGACTAGGCCAGTGGGCCGTATTTCCCCTAAAAGAGGGGCATTGCACTTTGGGGCTAGGCCCAGGTGAGCTGAACTATGCCCCGGATGGGGGCGGCGACCCCAAACCAGGGGGGGAGCCCCCCGACACTATGGCTGAATCAAAATACAGTAGAGTGAGGATCTTGGATACTGTGGGGAAGAGCCAGTTCTCTTCCTGAATCATAGCCAATGTTGGCAAGGTAAGACCCTACAAAGAAAGCAAGAGAGGTCTCTCTGAGAGGGGTCTGGCAGTGGTGGTTCACTACAACTCTTAGGGCGTAGATAAGGGGTTTGGAAACACTACTACTTCATACTTTTTTCTCGGGTAGGTCGAGTTGCCTCCCCATTTGACCCCCCTCATGTGCAAGAAGCAGCAAAAGGATAGTGCTTCAGTTTAGTGTAGTCTTATAGGATTCTGTAAGATTCTATTCTGTTGTACATAACATGGTATCATACTATAGAAAATTCAAACACGAGGGGAAACAGGACAGCCAGGTCCATTCCTCATCCCCACAAATCCTCAGTTCCTGTGCCTGCTAGATCTACTGACCCCCAGCACTGGTCTCACAGATAAAGCTGTTATATTGGGCAATGGGTGCCCTGCCCGCCTGGATATAGACCCACTGATCAATTACATGGTTGGTTAATCTTCCACTGCTTGGAGGGATTCTGAAATGTAAAGGCATCCCAGAAAATTGCTGTGCAGTCCTGTAAATCATCTCTTCTACAGCTCCTCTCCTGAGCATGCCACGTTGCCACTCCTTCACCTCCCTCCAAGAGCATCCCAAATGCCACAAAACCACTGTTCAAGGCAGATCGGAGTTGCTAGCAAGAAGGGGAGGAGTTGAGCAGTGAGGCTGCAGGTGGGCAAAAGGCACTGGAGGAGGGAGTGCTTGGCTGGGTGGGTGCTGAGCACCCACTAATTTTTCCCTGTGAGTGGTACCCATACTTTGTACTTATCAAAACTGCCATTTGGTTGTCTAATCACCCCCTTTTGTGAGACTCATTTGTAACTCTTCTCCATTAGTTCTGGACTTAACTAGCTTGAGTAATTTTTTATCATCTGTATATATTGTCGCCTCATTGCTCAGTGCACCTTCTCTTGTAGGTTACGTAAGAATATGCCAGTACCAAGGCATGGAGAATCCCACTATTTACCCCTCTCCATTGGGAAAACTGACTATTTATTCCAGTCTTTTCACTATTTCATGTAAAGACTCCCTTATGGAAGCCAGGACTACTGGAAACATCCTTAGATTCTATGCCGCATTTGTACACTGCCTTGATCACCCTGCCTTGCTGCCCTGATCACCAGCTCTTGTGCTAAAGGTCCACAGATCCCCAGGCAACACACCATTAGTTACTAAGACTATAAAAAGGCCCTACCTGTCAGAAGAAACTGTATGAGCCACAAACTTTTGCATTAGATCTTCCAGCTACTGACTACTGCAAGAACACTGGCTTTCCCCTGGTCTGCCCCTGAGACAGATTGACCTGTCAGCAACCCGACCACCCAGGCACACTTGAATACTGCTCCAGACTGTCCTCTGGCCCATCAAGCATTGTTGTTACTTCTCCATGAGAAAAGCTTCCCATTAATCCTATCACTGCCTACTTTACTTAAGAACCTTTGGTGAGAGGCCTCAACAAAGGCATTCTGGTAGTCTAAGTACACCATATCTATTGTATGTCTACACTACAGCGTTCTTTCGAAATACCTTATTTTGAAATAGTTAATTTGAAATAACGCATTAACACACAAAATGCATTTCAAAATAGCATTTTGCTATTTCGAAATAGCGCGTTCACACCGTGTGGACTGTGAATCGCATTTAAGGCTGGCTGGCCCAGTTCTGTCAGGCCACCAGGTCAGGACTTACTGTGTGGGGCTGCTGCCTGAAGCTAACTGTGGTCTGTGCTTAAAGGGCCTTCCCCCCTCCTGCCCCCCGGACAGCTGGTTCTCAGGTTTCGCTGCTTGCTTGTCTACCTCAGTGAGGGACAGCAAAGCATTTTGTCTCTGTGTGCTCTGGTTGCCCTCACTCGGGACATCACAGCACTCTGCAACATGGATCCAGAGCCGTCCCTGGGTGCTCTGGTGCTTCTCTTGGATGCGTTGCTGCAAGCCTGGCTAAACTTTCTGCAGGCTGCCATCTGGGAGGTCCATCGGGGGGCTGTCAGTATCCAGGAGGCCCTGCGGGAGAGCTTCCATCCTGAGGAGCACTAACAATCTCCCTGATCTGCCCCACTGGGGGCTTGTGCCTCATTCCTCCCTCATGTCCTTCCACTTACCCTCCCCCACTCCTGATGTAAAATAAAATACCCTTTTTTTCATAAACACGAACTATCTTTATTTAACAAAACTGGGGCGGGGGAATGAAACTCTGGTGAGACTGGGGAAAGGAGGTGGGAGAGGGGAGGGGAAAACCTGGGAGGGGGAAGCAAGGGGAAGAAGGGGGGGGAAGCTCAGGGCTCTGGGGTGGTGGTCTCACCAGGCCAACTGTCTCCCAGCACCGCGGATGCGGGGGCCTTGGCATCCCTGGGGGGATGGGGAGGGGGTGGAGGGAGAAGCAGGAGGGGCAGAAGGAGTCAGAGGAGTAGCAGTAGCTGGGGAGGCAGCAGGCGCTGGAGCGGTAGGAGGCAGCATGCTCAGCTGGCATGCTGGCAGATGGCACGGCCCTAGGCAAGCTGCTCCCGACGGAGCTGCAAATCTTCTTGCATCCAGTGCTGGAGGGTGCAGTGCAGGGCTCGCAGTGCCCCCAGGTGCTGCTATCGGTACCCCTCCACTGCACGGGAGGTCCTGCGGAGCCCTCGGGTACGGGAGCATGTCCCAGGCAGGGTGGTGCACCCTACACACGCGGTGGTCAGTTATCCCTGGGGGGACAGAGGGTGAAGCCCAGCTCCCCTGTGCAAGGTGAGGATGACCGTTTCCCGCACCATCAGAGCCAATGTGCTTGCACACAGGCCATGTTCGGAATGTCCTGCTATCCCCGGGAGTGGGAGCTGCCCCAAGACTGCACCCATGTCCCTGTGCTGTGTACAGTGGGGGTGAGGTGGGGGGAAGATGTCCCCTGCCTCTGTGTAGGATGGCCTTGTGGAGGGAGGGCGTCCTGCTCTGTCCCGCCCCAGGGTCAGAAGCATGTCATGTCTCTTCACACACACATGTGGCTAACAGGCCAAGGCCCCTGTGTGGCAGGCAACTGGGGCCACGTGCCCAGGGGTGTCATGGCACATGCATGCACATGCACAAATTGCTGCATGATCCGTGGTAAACAAGGCCCATGCACGCAGTCCTTGGTCTCCCTCCCCGCCCCCAATAAGGGGACAGTGATGGCACGCACATGTTGTTGCCTCCCCGGATGACATTGGTGACGGTCTGCTGGGATGGCTTCGGGGTCCTGGCTGTGTGGCACGCTCCCTCTGGGCTCCTGCAGCTCCTGGCGTTCCTCCCCCATGCCCTGGTCAGGGCCCTCTGCTCCAGGACCGATGACCCCCGGGGTGGCACAGACCATCCCGCCCCCCAGTATGCGGTCTAGGACGTCAAAATAGGGGCAAGTGTCTGCCCCTGTTTGGGAGCTTTCTCTTGTGGCCCCAGCATATGAATCAAATGAAATAAAAATATTAAGTGAATCAACATGTTCAATAGAATCGCTCTGGATAGTAATTCTATGCTCCAATAATAAGAAATTAGCAGTAGGGATATATTACCGACCACCTGACCAGGACAGCAATACTGACATTGAAATGCTAAGGGAGATTAGAGAGGCTACCAAAATAAAGAACTCTATAATAATGGGAGATGTTAATTACCCCCATATTGACTGGATACATGTCACCTCAGGTAGAGAAGTGGAGATAAAATTTCTCAATGGCTTAAATGACTACTTCTTGGAGCAGTTGGTGCAGGAACCCACAAGGGGAGAGGCAATTCTCGATTTAGTCCGGAGTTATGCACAGGATCAGGTCCAGGATATAACCGTTACAAGACCGCTTGGGAATAGTGACCATAATATAATAACATTCAACATTCCTGTGGTGGGAAGAACACCTCAGCAGTCCAGGACCCTGGCATTTAATTTCAAAAAGGGGAATTACACAAAAATGAGGAGGTTTGTTAAACAGAAATTAAAAGGCACAGTGACTAGAGCCAAATCCCTGAAAGCTGCATGGAAACTTTTTAAAGACACCATAATAGAGGCCCAACTTAAATGTATACCCCAAATTAAAAAACATAGCAAGAGACCTAAAAAAGAGTCACCGTGGCTTAACCACCATGTAAAAGAAGCAGTGAGGGACAAAAAGGTATCTTTTAAGAAGTGGAAGTCCAATCCTAGTGAGATAAATAGAAAGGAACAGAAACACTGTCAAATCAAGTGTAAACATGTAATAAGAAAAGCAAAAAAAGATTTTGAGGAACAGCTAGCCAAAAACTCAAAAAGAAATAAAATGTTTTTTAAGTACATTAGAAGCAGGAAGCCTGCTAAAAAACCTATGGGTCCCCTAGATGATCGAGCTAGAAAAGGAGCAATCAAGGATGATAAAGCCATTGCGGAGAAACTAAATGATTTCTTTGCTTCAGTCTTCACGGCTGAAGAC